TTTCATAAATATAGTGAAGTAGAAGTATAAAGTCACAGAAAATAGATATACTGAAGTAAAAAGTAAAATAAAACATACGTGATCACTGCCTGGATACATTTATTAATAGCAGCAGAGTCACCAGGAGGTGGTTGAGATGGGTGGCGGGTATACAAAGAGCTCAACTGTTACACCAGACGTTTAGGCAGCAAAAGCACTTTGCTTAAGATTAGGGAAACATGGGGGTTTTGGTTAAATTTAATAACACTGTATCTGAAGTCACTGCGAACTCCTTCTGTGTAAAACCAGATCACAATCTTTCTATGACCTTAACTAAGTGCTCCCAACATAACCATAAAAAAAAGCTTGATAATGCTGTAGTCACTACTAATAGATATTCTGCTACAAGACTGTGGTCAAAAGAATATGTTGTCAGTTTCTGACACTTTCAGTATTAGCATATTTGCAACTTGCCAAATAAGCAAATTAACATTTTCTCATTATATTAATAGAATACATGATCTTGTCACAGTTGTGTTTCTTAAAACATACTGGCAGTTTCAAATGAGTTGTATATAAATGTAATTCCTCAGAGGCAGGTTTACACAAGTGCACTTTGAAAATACTCGAGACATGTATTTGTTTAAAAAAGGGCGTTAGCTTCAAAGCAGTGCTGTGTTACAGTTAGTGGTGTTTAATGCATGTAGAGACACTTTAGTAAAGTCAAGTTCAGAAGTGGCTTTTGACTGGCCTTGGAAACACAGCTCTTGTGAAATCCCTGAGGTGCTATAGGCGTCATTTTCACTACTGCCATTTGTCACCTCAGCATTTCCCATTTTCTTTCCATGATCATGGTCCAGAAACTAAGAAACATCTGGCACCAAACCAGAGACTCAACTTGATCTTTCAAATACTCCACATATGTGGCTCCTATTGCACATGGCATCTCAGATACTCAAACTGTTGGGCTTCTCCTGTGTATCGATATCATAGCACCCCTCTAGCCTTTTAGCTCCTGTTGCTTCACACTCATATTCCTGTGCCATTATCTTGACCGGGATACCACTCCTTAAAAGCTCATCAATGCAAATTTCCCCCTGGAGCTCATCCTCTGTTTTGTTTTTTTTCCGTTGATAAGCGAAGGCTCATCCCTCTCCTTTTTGGGACACACACACAACCCCCCCCCCCAACCTACTTTCTCCTGACAGATGACTTCACTCACTCATTCTAGACGGACCCCAGGATAGGCCCCTTAGGCATGCATAGTTAGGGCAAATCCCCAAACACACACATATACACACGCACACACACTATTGGTGCAGCTAACCTTGTATAGAGGTTGTAGCCTTAGTAAAACCCCCAAAAGCCTCCTAATCCTGTTCCACCAGGCCAAGGAATAAAGTGAACCCTTCTTTGTCTATTCCGTACCATGCCATTGTCTGACTGAGAGTTTTACAAGACTAAAAAAGGCATAAGATACATAAAAATCCTGAGTTGAATTGAATGATTTAGATCAAAAACTTTGTACTGTAATACTCTCAGGCCTCTCTGAAATGTAGTTCAAGACGAGGTGGAGCCAGGCTGTTTCTTTCGGCAGCGCATTTTTATTAACGGCTTTTTAACCGCAATAGATTAGTTGTCATTGTGGCTTGTGTTCACAGTGACATCCTTGACATCCTCCTTTGCCAATATGATGTTTACTTTCCAGAACTGGTTTTTCCAGATTGTGTGAAGTGTTTCTGAACATTGCAACTTGTTTGAATAGGTAAACCTGAAGCTGTACTTGAAGTACAGTACTTTTTTTTCTGCAGGTGTATGTTTTGGCATGGGTGTGTTCTTCCCCTAAGCCAAGAAATTCCTCCCTAATGTTCAGCAACAGTTGAGCGAGTCTGATTTCTGATTTCTTTTTTTCTCACAGCTGTAATGTTTACTAAAAAGCCAAAGTAAAGCCAAGAGGCCATCCATTGACCCTGCTGAACAGTGTCAGTCTGGTATGTGTTCCTCTATTTAAATAGAGCTTTTCTCTTGAGATTGAGTCTCTGGAGCTGTTCAAAGACCACTTAATTTTACTAGGGGAGTTTCAGCCATGCAGTTAATCACGTCTGTATTGTTTACGCGCCTGAAAAAAAGTTATTCAGACTTTGCCTTGTTATTCAAAAGCCTCAAGGACTTGGAAGTTTAAGATTTTAAAGGAGAATATAATCACTGCTATTTTCAGTGCATGCGTTTGTAAAACAGCTGGAGCGTCACCAAATGTTCAGACTCAAAAAAGAATGTTCAATGGGCATTACACTTAATTTTCCAACATAATTCAGAACAAAAGGCGAAACTGCACCTGTCTGTGTGTGAGTGACATTTTAATGAGTGAGGAGTTTGGAAGATTTCTGCAAAAAGATAAGAAGATTATTTGCTGTCAAGTTTGTGGTTCCAAACCCCCCACAGCCCAGTCAATCAGTAGAGTTAATTATTTATAATACTGAAGTGGATGTAATTGCAATATTTTTTCATACAATTGAATTGTCAGTGTTTGTGTTGGTTTTATTATGTTTTCATTTGCGCAACTTGGAGTCACAGATTTCCACCATTTCTCCATTACTTTTAGCTCCTTCAACTACACCCTTCATGTTTAGATAACTGTTTCAACTTCTGTGCTCACTTGCTAACACAGTTTTAATCACAACCTGTGGTGTTGTGTTATAGCTGAATCTGCACCTGGATGTTTTATAATCAAACTGTAATTTTCTTTTTCTTTTTTGCGCAACTTGGAGTCACAGATTTCCACCATTTCTCCATTACTTTTAGCTCCTTCAACTACACCCTTCATGTTTAGATAACTGTTTCAACTTCTGTGCTCACTTGCTAACACAGTTTTAATCACAACCTGTGGTGTTGTGTTATAGCTGAATCTGCACCTGGATGTTTTATAATCAAACTGTAATTTTCTTTTTCTTTTTCTTTTTTTTTTAAATTAGTCACAATCTTCTCACATAACCCCCAACTCCCCACCCAGCAGCCCCCGGGGGCACTGGCACCCTGTTTGGGAATCCCTGTTTTGAATGATACAGAAAGTGTGAACAGGTTGAACAGGACTGTTGGAGTCATGTCCCTGCTGTGTGTTTGTTGTGAGAACAGTTCTTTACCTCTGTGCATGCACGCACAGGGGTAATTTCAAGCTGTGTAATCTCAGTGACTCAATGCTTTTTTTCATATTTGGTAGATGTTTTATGTGTGAAATTCTATCCCAGAATCCTTTGAGACCAAACTCAGGAAGAGGTCATACATATTTATTTGGCTCACGTCTTTAACTTTCATGGTTTTGTCTTCTTTTATCTCTTGTATGCCTTTTTTTCCCCCCACAAAAGATAGGAACTTCCTTGTAATGTTACTATTCTCTTCACAGCTTGTTTTGACTGCTGCGCCACTCTCAAAAACAGAAACTGTGAACGGCAGGAAGCCATAATAGCAGGAATAGAAATTATCTCTCGTGTCCCAAAGTCGGCTAACTTTGCCTTCAAGATGATAAGGCTGCTAATAATAAGAGTCTCATACTTGGTTGTGGACACTCTTGACTGAGGAAGTAATTAAGTTCAAGCAGTTTATCAGTGACTGGCCGGAGATGTGCTGTCTTTGTGTGATAAAGAGGAGCTGGTGAGGTATGCCCTTTCTCTCAAGTGTCCACCCCACCCTATTTTACATCCTCTCCTCCTCCTCCATCCACTTCCCTTAGGGGAAGCCCAAAGCGGATAGAGGCTAAGAGCCACAAAACTCAGCCATCATGTCACTCATCCTTCGGCCTGTCCCTCCCCGCTCTCCTCAAATGTCCAATCAGGCTAATTTTAGCCCGTGTTAGAGGGCTGTGTTAAATTTGGCAGTGTGTCCCCTAAGCGTGCCACGATGCAGATCCATTTGTACCGACTGTGTGCATGGAAAGGCACGCTCTCTTTCTTGTTTTCATTTTTGAAATGGTTTTCCCATGTGCCTTCTATTTTACAGTGAGCAGAATTAGCATAGGAAGAGCTATTTGTAAGGGGGGAAGGGGGCTACACAGCATTAGCAGACATGTGATACAGTTTTTAGAATGCCTTTCCCGTTCAATGATCAGAAAAAAAAGCTGCTTTTAGCATCCAAACACATAATTGAACATGTTAACAGTGGACAGAGGTAGAATACAGTACATTAAGTCACTGCTGCTGAGACACTGTGTTATGTAAACACCTATGACTCGTGGCGGCTCATTACAGCTATTTGAAACCCACTGTGTGCTGTCGTTAAAGAGTAGCCTTTTGGAAAATCCAATCTTTGAATATAATAGCCAAGGAAAATGTCTGCATTTTCACACCATAGGCTCTCACTTTTCGTAACTGTCCATGAAAGTGAAGATAAGAGTAGTGCGATAAGTAAGAAAATGTGGCTTATTATGACAGGACTCTGAGCTAAAGACAGAGAGAGGCTCAAACACAGCTGAGTTTTACTGGCTTCCAGTGGCTTCATATGCATCTCTTATCTCTTCAGTGTTACATAAAGCTGTAATGTCACCACTGGCCTGCAGCTACGGTATGCCCCCCACTTAAAGTCCTGATGTGTTTTCTAAACATACACACACAACACTGACATATTTGTCCATAATGCTGAACTACAAGCCTTAGTGCAGAGAGTGTATTAGAATGAATATGTTATAAAGCGGAGAAGCCAGAAGCCACCATTTGTTTACAGTGGCAGGTATGATGAATGAACACCTTGCAGACAGTGAATATAAAACAAACCAGTGTTGTACATGGGAATACGCAGGATACTAAGTGGGTGTATGAATTAATTTTGGTTCTCCGGACACTTCCTCCCCACTTTCAAGTACTTTAAATGTAACCGCATTATTCACCGTCCAAACAAAGTTATGATGTTATCCAAAGAAAAGAGGAAAAAAGGCATTGTGTGTTAGTTCAGATTGAATTCTCTATTTCAAAACACCACAAACAAGTGATTACGTAACATTCCTGTGTTGTTTTTTTTGTTTTTTTCCACAGACAGTGAGATGGTCCCACTGGACTGCCTGCGTCCTCGTTCTTTTGCAGCCGCCCACCAGGCCTCTATTCAGCGAAATGGCGATGACCCTCGCCTTTCCATCAGCCTGTGTGACCTAAGCCTGCAGCAGCAGGAGATGCATCTGGAGGAAGATGATGAGGAAGAGGAACGGCTACAACCCTTGAGCTCCAACTCCTGCCATGTGCCCCAAAACTCTCAAAACTCACAGCAGTGTTCGCTGCTGCCCAGCCATTTGGACACTGATCTACACTTCCACTCGATGCACGGCATCCATGTAACTGTGCTGGATAAGCACACGGTTGCACGGCTGGATCACCGTGGTGACGAGAGGACCCTGGTGTTCACCAGCCGGCCGATGCGCTGCTCAGAGACTGTGTTTGTCAAGGTGAAGGCAGGTGTCACGCGGCCTGGTTCTCTTTCTTATGGTGTGACATCATGTGACCCCACCACCCTGAGGCCCAGTGACCTCCCATCCAACCCAGAGTCCCTGGTTGACCGCAAGGAATTCTGGGCCATGTGTCGGCTGGCGGTGCCACTCCACAGTGGGGATATCTTGGGCTTTGTGGTGAACTCAGATGGGGAGGTCATGATGAGCCATAATGGCATCAGTGCAGGGATGCAGCTGTGTGTCGATAACTCCAGGCCACTCTGGATGTTCTACGGTCTGCACGGCACCATCACACAACTCAGGATTTTAGGTATGTTCACGTGATCTTTGCTACATACAGTATCTTACAAATGTCTGTCAGCTGCCTAAAAACAGCTATATAATCTTAAATATGTTTGGGAATATAAAACAAAATCTTTTTAAATTTGACAGTTCAAGAAAAAAGGAGACTTTCACAATAAGGGACTGTTATTATTCCCTCAGAAAACAACTTGTCCTCAAACATAATTGCTGAGTTTCATTCATTTCCAGTGCCTTCATATTCCTATTCAGATCATTGCTTGCAGTAAGGCGACTGGGACATCTAACCTCTAACTCTATACTGTTACATTATACTTTCATCTATTTAAGGTAAAGAAATCCCATATTTCATCTAAGCAAAAATAAAATGTACCTTCACAGACCAACAGTTTCTTATTAGCGTTAGTTTTAGCATTAGTTCAAATATTTAATTAAACCATGGTTCCAGGAATTGAACATGTTTCACAGATCTTCACAGGACGTCATTAGTAATTTTCCATTCAGAATGTAATCCAGTCTCTGATCCTTCAGTGACCTATGGAGGATGACTTCCCACTCAGCCGAGTCATGAAATAGTTTCCCCCTCCTTTGCTGTCTGGGCTGCTCTCTTGACTTTTTATCAACTCATATATCTCTTAGGAATTTACATTCTACTCCCACAGTTTGCACATGAATGTTAACTTTGTACCTTCAGTTGAACAGGATTTCTGTCAGCTCGGGTAGATACCAGCAGGTTTTCACACAATGATACATTAACTGAAAGTACCCTGACGTTAATCATGTGCAGTGTTGAGACTGATGTGGGACCAGATGCGCATTTTAGTTTGAAAAACATAAACATGCTGAAAATATGTTGACAATGTGTGGAGAAACAGTTTTCTGGTTTGTCCTGCAGTGAAGATCTTCAGGACATGTTCTTTGTGGCTGCAGTATTTACAGTATGTTGTGGCAATTTTCACTTAAATTTGGAGAATTTCAAAAGACAGTTTAGGAGAGAAAATGAAGTCCCTGATATCACGAGTCAAGAACATTTGACATCCTGCACACATATTCAGCGAAGAGGTAAATGAGCTTCACTAAAATTTGCTCAAATCCAATTTATGTTTCAAATATTTAGTATGACTTGTTGAGGTTTAAGAGTCCTGCACTTAAAGGATTTTAAATTCTCAATTTTTCATAAGAAATAGCTGAAGTGTTGCTTGGACATTGCATATTATGATGTGACTGAAATATACAGTGCAGCAAGCACAAGTGTGAGTGCTTTTGATTTGTTTACAGTCGCTGCAGCTAAAGACGCTCTTCTTAATTCTCTGAAAAACATCCTCATCCAGCAGTGTTGCATTCTGGTTAAGTTGATAATGATTCTGTCAAAGCAGGTTATAGTTCTTTTCACTGGAAATTCATAATTAGAGGTAGAGTTTTCTGAGAAACTTCACAGATGGTTAGAATTCACTGGTTTTCTTAGAATTTGTTGATTCCCCTAATTCTTTCTCATGATTCATTTCTGGATTACAGTTCCTCCTCTCCTCTCTTTCATGTAGTCAGTCAGACCAGGGCTGAGGAGGTTATTTCTGTCCTGCGTGGGCTCCCAGCAGCCAGCATTATGTATCAGGAGGGGGGCCCATGATAGCTCCTCATGATGCCCTCCATATGCATTATTAAAATGTAATTGCACGGAGGTTTGAGATGCTGGGTTTTCCACCCACAGCACATTCCCATAACAGTGGTCCTCCAATCGTCTCTGTATGTCCTCTTTTCCTCGTGCACCTCACACCACCCCCCACCCCCCACCCCCCGATTCTTTGGGGTTTGAGCGTTCTTCGACTCATTACCCACTCCAGCTGTGGGGAGTGCATTTGTGACGTCTCTGCTCACCCACTCGCTGCAGCCGCACGCCATGAGTTGCCATGGAAACATCTAGCCACTGAGGCAAGTGACAGTTTGTCATGGCGGGGTGTTGTCGAGCCTGTGAAGTGGAACAGATGGAAGTCTGCTACTCTCACGTGTTCATTTTATCCGTGTTATATTAGAAATGAAGATTTTATCATTTCATCTACGATACTCAGAATCAATAACGGCTCACATTATGTCCTCATTACAGGTGTCCTGCTCTGGGTTTACATATGTTTCTGCATGTGCTCAGCTGTAAACTTAAAGCTGCTATAATCAATGTTTTCATATTAACAATCGATCAAATGATTAAGAGTATGGGAAAGGGGTCACTCTTATTGACAACCCACAGCTCTACGACGCATTCTAGCATCATTTGGCTCATTGTTTTGAATTTATGGTCTACAGTTTAATGTTTTGGTTCAGGGTCATCGTTTTCAGTGTCATTTTCAGCCGCATCAGGAAGCTGTTTTCTGTGAAAAAGCTCAAAACAAACAATCAAGCAAATAACAAATTATAATAAAACTGGTTATCACACTGTCCCTAATCATGGTAGTATAATAAAAAATAGAAACTTCTGTATTGTAACCCTACTTAAATCTTTCCTTGTACTTTCTGATAAGTTATTGTTGTATGTGCATCTTTGCTACAAAGAGCACTGTGCTGTATTTTTGACTGATATCTATTTATAGTGGGTTTTTAGGACAATGTTGTTTTTTTCGGCCCTAAGTAATGCCAGCAGTCTGAGAGGCAAGACCAGTGGCATCACTGCACCACATGCTGCTGCAACTTGAGCTCATTGCTTTGACCACATGATAATCACTGAAGACCACAGATGATTATATCAACATTTTTATTAACTCAGATGTTCTCTCATCTGGATTCTGGTAGCAGGTCAGTAAAAGAGACTTCAGTAAGAAAATCAACCTGAACCAACAAAAGGGTTCCCCGCCCCCTTCTCTCTCTCTCCATCCCAGTGGAAATTACACTTACCACGCACCAATAGGCAGACAAAGTTAGGAACTAGCTGGTTGCTAAAGAGCCAGGAGCTAAAAACAGAGCTAAAAGGAGAGCGAATATCAAACTTAGATTTACCAGGTGGATGTGCTGGATGTGTAAATAAATAGTTGTTTGCTTGCAAGTTCACCATATCAACTTAGAAGGTGATATTATTTCCGTGTTGTGTTTACAGCTTGTTTCCATTACCCACAAGTGGCCAAAAGAGAAAAAATAAATAAATCAGCTGATGCAGGTTTAAAAACCTGATTCAGACACCAACAGAAAATGAAATAGCCTGATGGGCCGCGACAGAATTCTCTAGGTTTGATAAGCAAGTGTTGAAAGCCACCATACACATTCTCCACCACAAATAAGTCCCCTGTGCTGCCTGCATAGCAAAAGACATTCACATACTCATTCCTGGTGGCACAGGCAGCAGTAAATTCATAATACATGGGAAGATGAAAGGTACCCTTGATGATAGGGTACATGAATAGACATGAAGGTTATCCATTCTGCCTTATTAGAGTTGACCGAGACATTTGCTAACAGCCGGGCTGCCACATAGGTCGTGTTAAGTGGGTAACGGAAGGGTGTATAAATGCTACTGTATGCATACTGTAGGATGTATACAGAATCAACAAATAGATGACTCTCACTAAATCTGGAGATGTTTATTCAGAAGTCCTGTGCTCATGCAGACTTTGCTACAACTGTTGATTTTTTTTTAGCAGGAAACTGGCTGTTGCATGACTAAAAAGCTACTATGGTTTGTTTATGTAGGCTGAAACTGAGACTGCAGTGGTTGAAGTGGACCAGGGAGAAGGCATCAGTACGGAGCGATGGATCAGAGCACGTAGCTAGAGTTATGCAACTAAACTGTATACATTTTTGTGTTAACAACAGACCACATAAATGTGTGTTTTTGTTTTTTACGCTTCAATTTAAATTTTTTTCTCTGTAATTTCTCACCATTTTTGGTTCTTTTTTTTTGCCGTTTCTCCACTTCACATTCATTTTAGGAAAATTTGGATAAGACAATTCTGGGATAGGATGTGACCTACCAATATTAGATAATTTGACACACAGAAGGATGTCAGTGCTAAGCAAATGGCCAGCCTGACAGTGTTGAAATATTTCTGCCATGGTCAGTTGAAGGACAATGTTTAAACAACAATGCAGTGTGCCTGCCAGGCAAACTAGATCAGAATTTGTCCATGGAATCAGGGTCAGTATTCTCATCTGTTAGGAGACATGAGATACCAATATGTGAACTGATGCCAAAGCCGGTGGTGCAGCTCGGGACAGATCATACGGGACAGACAACAGATAGTCTGTGGAAGCGTTTTGTACCCTACCCAGAGGGATCATGGGCTCATGAAGGAGGAGGGAGGAGAGGGTGGGGGTGCCTGGTGTCTCTGACGAGACTACACCAACTCATAGGCTCTTGACTCACTCACACCCACCCACATGCAGACACTGTGGACTCACAAGTCATCTGCTTGGTGATAGAACAGATTTAATGTGTGTGTGTGTGTGTGTGTGTGTGTGTGTGTGTGTGTGTGTGTGTGTGTGTGTGTGTGTGTGTGTGTGTGTGTGAGTGTGAGTGTGTGTGAGTGACAGAGACAGTGAGAGAGATGCAACAAGACATCCACTCTCCTCCATTTACTAATTACCAGCTCTGACTACTAACATCTCAGAGATGCACAGTGTGAATGATGGAAATATTTGACTCCTTTTACTTTCATTGATTATCTGTATGCCTTGAATCTTTGGTGTGACCCAGATGTCTCTTCTGTACCGTCAGGTTCATCTCTTCACCCAGACCTCCGAGGCCCGTCGGTTCCCGGCTCCCCATCCTGTACACCCAACACCCCCACAATGCTTTGCAGCGGCAACTCAGAGCCCAACCTCAGCACGCCCTTGAACATCAACCTCAATTCAAGCCTCAACTCCAACTACCACACGGTCTTTTCTTCCTCCACAGGTTTGTACATATGGTCCAATTTATCCCTTTCTCTTTTCTTTCTTCATTCTCCATCTTTCCTCACTTGAAGTGGAAGATTTGCCAAATTTTAATTTTGAGAAAAACCAGATCATCCTCACAAATGAAGTATTTACATATGCATGTATGTGCATGTATTCCGTGTCCAGATTGTTGTGATTTTTTTCTTTTGTGTTTATCGTTTTTTTTTGTTTATGAAACTGATTAAGACGTAGACATGCAGGAGAGCAATAAAACAGCCAGCAGCATACAAACACTGGCTAAACAGCACCAAGACATCGACTCACGATATGCATGTTCGAAGCAAACATGAAGCAAATATTTACCTCAGTGATGTGAAGCAGTTATACCCAACATCACTGCAGTCCCAAGCTGCAGACAGCATGACAGGACAACTCCTGGCAGATAATGGCGGCAGAAGGAGCAAGAATTGCAACACAGACACAATTATTCCTCCATAAAGTTGTCCTGACGCTTCATGAGTAGAGAAAAACAGTGGGCAGGGTATTGAGAGCTTAAATAAAAAGGTGCGTTGGACATATGCTGCAGCGAACAGAGCCTGTCAGAGTGTGTTGTCTGCCTGAACTACCCTGAGGGTTCCCTCCATCTTTTGGCAATGTTTCTTTTTGTTTTCTCTCTCACACTCAGTCACACATCCCTTAAGTCTTTTCTCTCATCACCTCAGGTACAACCCCGAGCTCTCCATTCTCCAGCCATCCAGAGTCCCCTACCTTCCCATCCTGCTCGTGGAGTGACGAATGCACCATTTGCTACGAGAACGTGGTGGACACGGTCCTCTACGCCTGTGGACACATGTGTCTCTGCTACGCCTGCGGCCTCAAACTCAAGAAGATGGCCAATGCTTGCTGCCCCATCTGTAGGAGGACAATCAAAGATATCATCAAGACGTACAGGAGCACGTAGGCTCGTGTTAAACACCGTGTCGCATCATCAGGCTCAGCTCAAGGTTGTCGAAGCCATGTAAAGACTTTGTTAAGATGGACACAGCACAAGTGAAAGCCCCACTTGTTTGTGTGTGCAATCTGGCTCAGGTACTCTACAGCAGGACTTTAAACTCCATCATTATAACATTTTATCCATGTTGTGTCTAATGCTCATCATTGGAAGGCTCACAGTGGTCCTTTCCTGTGAAGACCCAGCAATGAGATTCATCAGAAACCATCAAAAAATACAGTGTTGATCAACAGGAACAGCAGATTGGACCTTGACCTACTATTGTCCAGTGATTTGTGCATCTGTTGAGGAGAAAGAGTAATCTGAAGAGGCATCTGTCAGACTTCATGCAGAGTAACCCTTCATTCTGCGGGCTATACGGTAGATACCAGTAAGAAATGAGTAGAAAGACAGAGAGAGAAAATGTTGCAGCATTTCTAAAATAAGCCATTTTTGAATGAGTAGAAAATGCTCCTCATGCAATAAAACACAATGAAATGCCTAAACCTAAAGGGTAAAGTAATCCTTATCTCAGTTGTATAATAAATGAAGTGTTTTGTTGGATATTTCACGACCTGCTGTGCTTCTGTGAACTTCAGGCAAGGCGAGATTGTGCGAAGGGTAAAAAAGTGTGAACGTTGTCACCATAGAAGGTCACGCTTGCGGTGAAATGAGGATGTAAATCAGTGAGGAGGGAAGCGAGGGAGGAGAGAGAGAATGTTGTAAGTGTGGGATGTAGACAGGGGCACATGCGCTGTGTGTCTGCACATCGTTTCAATGCCACGAAGAGGGTTTGCTCACTCAGGCAAACCACATACATAAGAAGTTTGTATAAAAGCCTGTAAAATGCGGGACTTGCATGGATTACATGTCCTGCTTCTTGGCAGCCGTCCCCCGCCACCTAGTGCTGCTCAGTAAGCCTGCCGGATGCTGCAATTGGACAAGTCATCTAAATAAACATTGGTGGGCAGTGAAGTATTTTTAAAATGTTGAAAGAGCACATAAGGATGCAAGAAACCCATGAAACACTAAGTTACAGATGGCTTTGCTTACTTCAGGTTACGCACTCCTCTTTCATTATGTACATTAAAGTAAAACATGAATACTCGCTTTCACTGATGATGTATTTCAGTGCACTGTGTCTTCAAGTGGAAAGAAATTCACACGTGTGCAGTTAGTGACAAGGATGTAGCTTGTTATTGTGGGACATTGTGAGAATTACATTTGCATATCAGTTTCTGAGTGCTGCTCTCCGTCTGTAAAAGCAAACTCCAAGGACATTTTCACTTGACTAATCTCATGCATTATGTACTGCTTTGAATTGTTAAGAAATACAAGCTATTTTCAGGTGTTATTTTGGCCTTGCTGAAACATCACTCAGTAATCTGTAAAGTGGTAAGTGCTGATTTTTTTTTTTTTTTCAAAGTTTTGAAGCTTGTCATCTCGCAGCTGTGGAGGGAAAACTAGCAGTTATGTTGTAAAAGGTTTGCGTCACAGTTAAGTTTTTCTTGTGTGCCTTTAAAAACAGAAGTCTGGACACACTCTGGTATGTTAGGCTCCTCTCTCTAAAAAAAAAACCAAAAAAAAACCAAGAGGAATACTGAGGTTCATATTCATCTTAAAGTCACTCTTACACGAGTGTGATGTCTCTGATGTGAGCAGGTGTAACCACACAACCTACCAATACAAAGCTGTTGTGTTTGACTTTGAAGCAAACATTTCAGTGCGTTTAACATCAGTGTGCGAATTTATTCACTGCCTAAGATGAAATGTTTAAATATCGCCTTGTCCCCTCTGTCACTGCATTGCATAATACTGGAATTTTGTTGTGCTTTAGAGACGCCCAGCCTTTACATTTCTACCTGTTTTCTTCCTGACCAAATATGACCCAGAGGAAATGAAATATTGTGAAACATTTTTGATAGAAAAATGGTATTGATGAGTGTAATATTAACTGTACATTAGGAGGATTATTTATTTTGTCAGTGCTACTATAAAAAAATATCACTGTTTATTTTATATGTATGGCTATAGTGTCCAAAATGTAAGAGTATTTCATCGTTACATAGTCAAAGATTATAGAAAACTTTATTCTCATGAAAGACTCAGTGGTTGTGACAGCTGATTTTCACTTGAAGGAGTAGTGTGGATGATGTTTTGGGAAATACGCTCATTCACTTTGCGGCAAAGAATTAGACAAGAAGATCAATACCACTCTCCAGTGGTGGAATGTAACAAAGTACATTTACTCAAATTATAGAGCCTGATGTTATACTAATACTCATCTATATTTCAGAGGGAAACATTCTTTTTACTGCACTAAAGGTTATCTGAAAGCTGTAGTTATTAGTTACTTTGCAAAGTAAGATTTTACACACAAAACATAATTGGCTTATAAAATGTGATGTATTGTTATAGAATAAAGCAGCTAACAGAATAAACTGATTGAAATGAGGTCATCTGTGACCGTGCTACAGCTTTGAAATGCTACTGACACACCAATACATCAGGAATAGTTAACATTATAATAACGTGTATGGGACATTTTTCCGAGCGAGCCGTTTTTACTTATTATACTTAAAGTGCATTAGATTTAACATTGCATACTAGCTTACTTTTACAGTAATATAATTATAGTTTTATAATCACAGTATATCCAATGACAATGTGACAATGCGAAAGGTGTTGCTTGTATATATGAACCCACAGAGTTCTCACCTGAAACTGCAGCTCCCTTCAGCTTCACAGAGTTATATTGTGAGTTTTAGCTGATTGTTTAGCCGTCCAGACTTCAACTTTACTGTTTCGGTTCACTCTCACTGCTCTCATCATGTCGTCACAGCAGGCAGCCGCTTTCAGCGAAAATGCTCTGAAAACCCATTGTACACTACCGGCTAAGCACCAAACAGCAGACACACACAGTTACCGAACAGCTGAACCAGACCAAACACAGAGCTTATAGAAACACAACTCCAAATGAATGATTATGTTGCTACATAACTCTTTGTCCCTGGTGAATTTTGTTAACTCTGAACAGAGTATAGTTGTATCCCCTGTTTCCAGTCTTTATGCTAAGCTAACCACCTGCTAGCTAAAGTCACTCACAAAGGTGAGAGTGGTATCAGTCTATTCATCTAACTCTTAAATAAGCATATTTCCCAAAATGTCAAACATCTACTTTAATGTCATATACTGAAATATGGTATTAGAAGGGAATGAAATGTGTAAAATTGCCGTTGGTTACTTATTAGTTGGTAAAATTATGTTGTGCATATTTAAATTCTATCTTGACTTTGTGTTGTAGTGAAGCAGGCGTGCGTAGTTCCCCATATGGTCATAATTCTGACAGCCTGTTTTTCAAATGTGACCAAATATTTGCAGTCCAAACAAAACAAAACCAGCAAGTAAGTGAAGGTGGGCATTGTGCACTTTGGACAAGAAAATCAGCTCATAACTTTGGTTTCCTGGACTTGGGATTTCTATTTGACGTTAAAAAAAAATAAAATAAAATAAAAAAATGGTTTCTGAATTTGCTAATTATGTTCAGTTTGTTAAATAAAGTTTAAGTCTGAATCACTGGCTTTGTACCTGCTTTTATTTCTTATTAATTACATGGAAAAAAAAATTGAGCCCATCCAGCTCTTCTTCGTGTCTACAGGAGAGCCTGTCTACTTAGGTTCAGGCATTCAACTCAGATTGCAACAAACTTAGAACTGGCCATTTCCATTTCTTATTATGTTTTATGCACAGCAGGAAACTGAAGTCAATCTGGCACAGAAGATGCCATACGAGAGAGCATTAGTGCCATTACCTTTTCCCAAAACGTACATTATTTGATGATGGATTAACCTCTTAACGCAAGAAAATTCAAATTGAACAACAGTTAGAGAACAAAAAGGCAGCCATCTCTCAGATGCCTAACACCCAACACAATCACTCTCCACAGTAGTATACTTGACTAACATCCTGCCATATACTATATGAATAACAAAGGCAAGGGCTTTTAGTAAACAGCTATAACTCAGAGAGAAACTGTTTAGAGTTGTGGTATGTAGACCTGGCCAGAGTGAACATCATCTGTTATTTACTACCCCGCGGGCCTGGCTCTAATGCAGCACTGTTTTATGCTGCACTCCAATAGGCACCAATACAACCCATGACGTCCGGACATGAAACAGGCAGCGGTGGCTGCCATTCATGGCCAAGTGTTCTCAGAGGTGAGAGGGAAATACACAGGCAGTGTCTGTGAAAGTGACATGAATACAGTATATCTCACTGGTGTCTGTGTACACACAGACTTTCCACTCAGACCTCTCAGTGAACCTCGCTGCTGGCCTCCTGAAGGCTTAAGGGCTTGGTAGACTTGTTTGAGCTGTGTTGCGGTATCGCCTCTAGACAGCTGTTTGGTCAAACACGCACATCATCTATTAAGTATCAAATTTGTATTCCAAAAAAGCTTTACACTATTGATTCTGAATTTTAACGGGACATCAGACAGTCTGAGTTTGTGTTTCTTCCTCTCTTGTAGTTAAGGCTTTAAGCTTTTGGTGTTCAGAGTGATGTAAAATCTTTTCCTCAGTCAGATTTGCAGTGTCGAGGGACAGACTGTGAGGAGACGTGCAGTTATATCAAAAAGAGCAACTTTGTTGATAGTCTAAAGTATCAATTGAGTAATTCACCCCTACACTATCTAATTACAGTATTGATGAAGACAGAGGTGAAGGTGACTGTGATGCTGTGTCCGATCTGCACCTAGATGCTGAGTGCTGCTGCCCTCCAGTGGCCAGAAACCGCAACAACACCTTGTGCACAGCACAGAAAACCCCTCAGCAACAACACCATCAGCAATGTGAAGATTTAGACATTACAAAATGTTGAAATGTTTAAAAAATATATTGAAAGAAAATGCACAGAAACGTTCAGACTTTTTTTTCTCACAATAACATAAATCATTTTGGCAAAATATGCAAAATCTACTTCCTACTGTAGTTTTTTTCAGAGCTTTAAATCACATCTTACAGTCTTCATCAGTTTGCACAGCTTTAAAACTACTATTTCTAAAGTCAAGAATGAACCTCCACACTAAATGTTTACATTTTGAGTTTTGATTTACACAATACAATACAATACAACAACTTTTGACTGATGTACACAACTTCCATATTTGAGCATATTTGAGCTGGGGTGTCTTTACCTCACCTGCACATCTTGCATTTCTTTTTTCCTATTTCTTACATCAATAATGTACTATTTGCAAGCATAAATAAACTCATAGCCTCCTCTCCACATGAGTACAACAATCAAGGAAATGCAGACACAATGACACACACTCAGTAGCCAAACATGTTACAGTATAAAGATGACCAACAAACACTCATAACTTAGTTTCAAGCCAGTGAGTGGAGTATGAGTGTAGAGATCCCAATAGAGGAAACTGACAGTGGGATGGACATATTTCAGATTCAATTCCTGTGGGCTGTAGATCTTATTATATTTCAGGCACCAAATCCAATATATCAGCAATATGCAGTGTCTGACACTGGAAAACTGCATCAGTGTTTTGATTTGGTGTTTCTCTGATTATAGCTGATGGCGACACTATTACAAGACAACTCCACACTGGTAAGTTAAACTTTTGCTTTGTCAGTTGATGCTAAATTAAGCAGCCCAGTAACCACAGAATGAAAGCCATCTAAACCAAAGTCAAATGTGCAAGTTCTCCCAAAGCAGAAACTCTCGGAGTTGAATTGCACCACGACCTGGCTCAAAGCTATGGTTAAGAAATGAAAGGGATGTCAGGCAACCAAGTGTGATCTAATTTATTTGAATAACAGCATCAAGCTGGTCAAACACTTCAATTGTATTGTATATACACAGATAGGGTTTATACTAAACATAAACACATTCAATATTGAGATGTTTTACTTTTTCCAAAGCAGAAAGCTTTTAATGCAAGACAACAGAGATGTGAGAAAGTCTGAAGACTTGAAGGTTCTGTAAACTATCGTCAGTGAAACTAGATGTCGCACTACACCACCAGTATCTCAGACCAACACAAATACTTTGACGGCCGCAACCCCCGTCCCCCTCCCTTCACGTTTTCAGTCAGCAAGGTGTTACGAAGCCCAATGAACGCGGACAGTGAACATAACAAGAAGCACAACTGAACAAAGTTAGCGCGTGTACACCAGAGCCAACACAAACACAATCGTCCACAACCATTAGAGCATGCTAGCATTGCCGCGACTGCAGTAAGCCAGCTAGCCACAAAAAAACATTTGCCAAACAAATTCAAATAAGGATAACAGCAAGTTAGCTAGCAGGTCATCGTGCATTCTGCAGACGGTCACTAATGAAAACAGACATAACATTATGTTGTAATGTGTACTTACACATTGAGGAGAAGAAAAGGTAGTTCCGAGTTAAGCTGGAGCCCTTTAGCAGCTTATGGGACTCTCCATCTTGGAGAACCCAGACTTGGCTCCACGGATGGAATGGGAAAAAATTTAGCCTGAGACTTATCCGCTGGGTCCGGACAGGAAAGACACTAGCTAAGCCGGTAAAAAGTTTACCTGAACTTTATGGATGTTTTGACCGGGATTTAAGTGAATAGTCTTCATGGCCAGTCCGCCATTGCTCTGGTCTTATCTCTTTATTTGTGATGGGCTTTTTCAGCCAAAAAACGCACTTTCCTTAATGTGTTTGGCCTTGGAGGTATGTACTCTACTGAGTGCCATTCTAGTTATTACAATACTTAGAACTTACATTGTGCTATGTTCTCTTTCCACTTGCAATCCAAATGTTAGTATTTTTTTTTTAAATTAACATTTACATCTCAAGTCTCAAATCCTCAAATTTGTGGGTAATTCTGATTTGATCTAAGTATGTCATTCTAGTCCCCCACGTCTGCAATACAATTAAGAGGCATAACATTAGCAGTGGTTATGGCCTTTGATACATTACATTATAATTATATTGTTTATTATACACCACATTAATTTGCAAGTAATTCAGGAGATACTTACCCCCTTCTCACATAACTTTCATTAACAGTATGGTGACTGCCAAACAATATACCACGTGTAGCATTAAAAATACTCTTACAACAATGATGAAATTAGGCTGATTTTGGTTTAGTGTTGTTGAAATAATCATTTCTACAAGTGTGCCAATATAAAAATACAATCCATTATTTCATCTTTAGTTTTCATCTTTGTGTTATATTTTGGATCTAGGGTTACATGATATGCAATAACTATTGGTTTTATCAAATAGGCTAGTAAAAAACACTGAGGCAATTATGTGACTTCCTCCCTACTAACAGAACAAGAAAATGTCAAAAGAAAAAATGTTCTTTTTCTATTTCAAATGTTAAAGTTTTTTAGTGGCCCCTTTGCCTTTTGTTATGTTGGCAGACAGTAGAGGTGACAGAAAATGAGAAGGGCAACAACTGGGGCCATTGCAATTACAGAGTCAGCATCTTTAACTCATAATCAACCGGGAAAATTTTGTTAACTGCAGATTTATTTAATGTGCATGGACATGTGTATGCTTTTAAGGTGATGTGTGCTGAATTTGATATGTGATGTGTATCATTGTGTGTACAATGATCACTATATCACAGAAATTGTAGAAAAATGTATGTAAGCAGATTTACAAAAGCTCAAGTGAATGTTTTTGTCACGCAGACTCACAAATTGGGTTGAATAAAAGCCAAGACTGTATCCTCTAAAATGATACCAAACATAAAATATTAATTGAATTGTATTTATAGTGAACCTAGATGAGATTTATATCATGATGATAGATGTGCAGAGTTGTGGGGGTACATTAGACAAGGTTGGGAACCATTGTACCAGAGGAGCAAACCTGATATGTGGGCAAACACTAACTATGACTATGTAAAATTTAAATAAGAAAGTACCAATAATTGTTCAAAAGTGCATTTATTTAATTCATTCTTTTGGCACTTCAGTTATCATCACTGGTCACACAGTTAACGTAAAACAAAAGTGAGCACCCCAGTACTACTGTAGCTTAAGAGTTATGTCAAATTTACTGCCCAGCAGAAATTCAAAATGTTATAATTAATGGAGCAGTTCTTAGAAATGTTTAAGGCAGTGTGATCAGTAAAAACAACAAAAAAGTAATAATATGATATTTAAGTAATGAATAAATATAATTTTCAGATGTGAGGGAAGGTTAATTTTGGATAATTAGCCTCTGAAATTAATACAAAAAACATTTTAAGGCTATAAGTTTCAGGGGAGATCATCAGGGATGGTTTTCTGGTTTAAGGGCAGAAATACTGTTATTATCAGAGATGCTCACAAATTGTTTCATTAGGACAATATTACACAATTAGATGGATAAAATATTTCACATAAAGGTGACATACAGTATAAAGAGATATTACAAAAAACATGCAAACAGACAGCACCAAATTGAGACTAACACAAAGCAGCTTTGGCAACAACTGAGATTTTCTGTAAAGAAAGGAGGAGAGAAAGGTTTAATTAACAGC